ACATGCTAGTGAGTAGCCAGCTAATCTTTATATTTGAAGTGTAGCCAACTTGGACCTATTTGCTAGCTAACAAGGTAGAACAGTTGACTTGTTATGAACACACCCTTCTGTCCATCTCTAACTGTTTGAACAGTATGCTAGCCTGTCCACTTTGTTCAGATGTTGAAATCAAGTGGCCTAACTTATTTCTAAATGAGAACGAGTTGCCAATTCCTTATATAATTGTGTTTATTCATATTGCACATTTATGGTCCTCTGTAGCTCAATTGGTAGAGCATGGCGCTTGTAACGCCAGGGTAGTGGGTTCGATCCCCGGGACCACCCATACGTAAAAATGTATGCACACATGACTGTAAGTCGCTTTGGATAAAAGCGTCTGCTAAATGGCATATTATTATATTATTATAAAACACAGACTAGACCGCTAGTATAACGGTCTTCTGTTAAAAGGCTGCTAGCGGTACAGCAATGCTGCGCGTGACAAATTGAGCCTTCATTTTCCAGAATCAATGTTAATTGATACTCCCACTTTAGTGTCTGCTCTGTGCGCAATTAAAACGTGTATCATTAGAATTCTGTTGGTCCAAACCTCAAATGCAAATAGCGAATTGAAACCGCTTGTCAGAGGAAGAAGTGATCTTTAATCTTTGTTGTTGTAAGTGGCAGGGGAAGGGGCTTTGTGTGTGAGTGAATGGGAAGGTGCACACAGCAGAGAAGGATGGAAAGAGACAAGACCAAAAAGACATGAGAACAAGCGGACAAACGTTCATAAAAAATAAAAATATATAACAACTTGATTCTTGTGATACAAGCATTTGGAATATCGCGCAAAAACATACATGCAAATTATTTTGATCGCCCAGCATTTGTCTCGGGGGCTGCATGGGTGCGTGCTTCTATACATGTATAACTATACTCATCTGCCAGTTTATTAGGTACACCACCCTGTTCCGAAAATGGATAAATCCTACAGACAGTGTGGCCTTGGCTTCCTATATAAAGCAGGCATCGAGGCATTCAGTTACTGTTCGATTAAACATTATAATGGGCAAAACAAGTGACTTAAGTGATTTTGAGCGTGGTGTGATCGTCGGTGCCAGGCGCGCCCGATCCAGTATCTCAGAAACGGCTGCCCTCCTGGGCTTTTCACACACGGCAGTGTCTAGGGTTTACCGAGAATGGTGTGACAAACAAAAAACATCAAGTCAGCGGCAGTCCTGTGGGGGAAAACAGCTTGTTGATGAGAGCGGTCAAAGGAGAGTGGCAAGAATCATACAAGCTGACAGGCGGGCCACAAACAAACAAATAGCAGCGCAGTACAACAGTGGTGTGCAGAACGGCATCTCTGAACGCACAACTGGTTGATCGTTGTCACGGATGGGCTATTGCAGCAGACGACCACACTGGGTTCCACTCCTATCAGCTAAAAACAAGAAGAAGCGGCTCCAGTGGGCACACGATCACCAACACTGGACAATTGAGGAGTGGAAAAACATTGCCTGGAACATGACGGCAAGTTTAGTTTACTTGAGTGGCCTGCACAGTCCCCAGACCTCAACCCAATAGAGCAGGTTCTTCAATTCCGGTCTGGAGGGCGAAACACTCTGTTTGATTCTACCTGGTAGTAATGCACTCACTGGTCCCAGTCTGAATTAGCCCTGTTGAAGGAGGGATGAAAACAGAGGTTTCGGCCCTCCAGGACCGGAATTGAAGAACCCTGCAATAGAGCATCTTTGGGATGAGATGGAATGGGCTGTTTGCAGCATGAATGTACCGCCGTCCAATCTGCAGCATCTGCGTGATGCCATCGCGTCAGCATGGACCAACGCGGTTCTGACACCTAGTAGAACACCCAGAAGAATGCAGGCTGTTCTGGATTGGTGTACCTAATAAATTGGTGAGTGTAAGTTAACTATCTTAGATGTGCCAAATGAAATTGTATCCGGCTCCAGCTATGCATTTGGTTTGCTAACTTGCTTGCTAAGGTGCTAGATGGCAAGATCAAGCTTCTTGGTTACAGCAGAGACATTCAATCCCCTCCTGGATTAAGATCCATGTTGCCTAAATAATATATATATTTTTTGAAATAGCACCACTTGTGTGCACTTCTGTTAGTACCGTATACCCAGGTATGATACAGAAAACGGTATGAAAATCTGGATACCGCCCAACCTTAGTGAAATGTGCAGCACATGGAAGATGCTCAGTGTTTTTATTTATTTTATTTTTTGGAATGTTTAAGTATTAGTATTGAAAAAAGCCTTTGGTGTGATAACGACAACATCAGTTATTATTGGATTGTCTTTTCTCTGTTGGACCTCTTTCGTGTGTACAACACCAGCCTTTATATTTTCCCTTGTTCTAAGAGGGCCTCTGCTCTGTCCATTTAGCAGGTGCATTCTTTTTTCAGTAACAGCATCAGCTCAAAGGTGGCTAGATGCAGAAAATGGCTTTGTTCAGCAACTAATTACCGTCGTCCCTCTTGCTGTAACTGCTTAATTATGTTATCCATACTAACAGATAAAAGCCATGCTTCTTTTGAGATTGGAAGCCATAAAGCACCCCTTCTCTACACGCAGGAGCCAGCGGTAATAACTTTCCCTGTTTGTTCTTGGCATAGTGCGCGTGATGGATCCCCTGTTGTGGCGGTGGTGCATTAACACGTACCCCTCTCACCAGGCCCTTCACTGCAATAAACAAGGCCTCCTCCAGACCCACTGCTGGTGCCAGGCCCTTGACCTTGTTCTGCCCACTCCAGTTTCTCTCACATCCTCTGTCACTGTGCTGTGTCTGGCTGTAGTACTGTAAGTGTACACTTCCTGAATGTACTACACTAGAGGATAGGCCGCAGTGTTAATTGCGCCAACTCAGGTGTTGAAAGTCAAACGTGTCAGTGCTGTAGGGATTTCTGAAAGCAGGAAGTAGAGTTTGTTTAGCACACCCAATGACGTTGTGCCTTTGGAATGCCGAGATCTGTTGGCCTTTTGACGTGCGAGTCACTTCCTATGACTTGACATCTGTGTTTCATGTGTAGTTATTACACATTCATAGTTTCCCCTTCCAAGGGAGACCGCATATCCATGGCTCTCATTGTGCCAGTTTGTATAACTTCTTTCTATTTACTGAATCTTTAAGGCTAAAAGCCTATTGATCCATTTTGTCTCACTGTATCTCTTAACTGCCAAGAGAGCAATCCTTCCTATGTGTTTCCGGATTGCTCTCACACCACCACTGGGCTCATCCTCACTAGCAGACAGTTCAGAAGGATTGTGATGGAGCTCAGTGCTCATGCACCATTTACCCACAGAATTCCTGCAGGTTTAAACACAGAGTTTCTAAACCCAGAGGCGCAACATCGCGAGACTTTGGGAACGCTAGCGAAAAGGACCAAACAGACCAGGCCGGGGTTTGAGAATTCAATGAGAGAAGTGAAATTCTTCCTTAGTTGTTAAAAGTCTAAAGGCAACCTAGAATCTAGCAAATGTATTAAGTAGTTGAACACATTATTACTCCAACCTTGTGACAGTGACACGTTTTCATTTTAGTCAAAAACTACTTTATATCGAAAGAGTGCCTTTGAGTTGACGGCCTGCACATCGACCCGATGACGTGTTTCTGCGCATGAGCTTAGCTAGCAAAAGTTTCCATGACATCACCTACAAGTGTGATTTGGGGATTTCTATTGGAGAAGCAGTTTTAACCTATCTTTATACTGTACTCTTTGGTTTAAACCATCAAGGTCTCATTTACCTGTTGTATATTTGTTCCTCTGAAATGGGCATGAGACCGATTCAGTCAACTAGTGTACAGATCCAATATGCAGGCTTCTTCTTCTTGACCAGAGGCCACTTGACTGTGGTAGTGTGCAGATACAGACTAGGTGGTCAAAGCAAAGGACAAGCAACCTGCTGTACCCTGCAGGCCTCTGAAACCTAGGTTTTGCGATTGATGGTGAATGTTATACCACACAGGAAGTCTACTTATCAAATAGGAAGTAGTACAGTGTATTTGTAATTATCATCTTGCAGCCTACCCATTTTAAAAACAAATCAAATCCCTCTCTAATGAGTCAGACACATTAATGGGGTGAGGGAATATATGCTTCTGTCTAATCATTCAATTCTGATTGCAACCTCTCATGGAGCAGCGTTCTTGTCAGAATGGGAGTACATTAGTAACATCAGAGGCACGGTACTGTGAGTTCTCTTGTGTTTGCCAGGTGTGTACTTGGCTGATGTTTTAGAAATGGCGCACTGTGCTCCTATTATTCCTCTATTTTGTCTGGCTGCATGTAAATACTGGAGAAGGTCATCTCACCTCCATGCATGTGAGCCTTCAATATTTAATCACCCTCCACTGGTTTGAAACCTTAGTGCTCTCTTCTGAAGCTTCTGAGCAAGGATTTTAATTTCACCTACCATTCTCCTTTTACTTGTCAAATTTAAGGCTGTACTCACCGAACAATGCTAATTTGCTATTCAAATATTTGTCATCTAATAGGCTACCAAAAAGACCATTGCAAGAGTATGCATTTATCTTCTAGAATGAATGAGCGCCCATGGCCTCCTAATCAACTCTTGTAATAACTACATTGAGCTAGACAAAAGTAGTGGTCAGGTGATTTACTAGCCCCCCAGCTACGTGCAATTTAATTCAGAAATGCATACAGACAGACAGACACTCTGTGGACCCACCATCACCCCAGGCATTTTTCTTTCATTCGTGTTAATGCATTTTCCCTCTATTTACATTTTACTTCTGTAGTAACGCCGTAAGCAATACAAATGTTGGAGAAACAAAAAAGTTACTCATGTAATTTCTTCACACTTTCATAATGACATAGGCCTACTTTCACCTACTGGTTGTCAGATTAGAATAACACTTTGCAGTATGGCCCTTGTTAAAAAAAAGTGCAGCAGTTGGCTCTCGCCCAGCCAGTGCCTTCCCCTCACCAAGGCCACCTGTGCCAACATGTTTAGTTTCTCCGTGTTTTCCAGAGGATGCCAGCGCCGATCAGACTGCGGGAGCTGATCCGGACCATCCGGACGGCTCGGACCCAGGCAGAGGAGCGCGAGATGATCCAGAAAGAGTGTGCTGCCATACGCTCATCCTTCAGAGAGGAAGACAACACTTACCGCTGTAGAAATGTGGCTAAGCTACTCTATATGCACATGCTGGGCTACCCAGCACACTTTGGGCAGGTAAGTTTAAAAATAAGACTATGTTCTTAATTTATTAACCAACATCTGTGAGTGTCTTGTTGTTCCTGGCAGTGAATGTGTGTCTCGCTAAAGAGAGCAGTTTTGTGAACGAATGAGTTTTGTTTTCCAGCTGGAGTGCCTGAAGTTGATTGCATCCCAGAAGTTCACTGACAAGCGGATAGGGTACTTGGGAGCCATGCTACTGTTGGACGAGAGGCAGGACGTCCATCTACTAATGACAAACTGCATCAAGAAGTAAGACAGGCCAAAACCGCATTGGCTCAAACATACACTATCCTGACAGGAACAGCTGCTTATTTGTAGTGTGGGAGTAGAGATAAGTGATGTTCACCAACGCCAGTATTCTGTTAATGCCTGAAATGTTAGTCATGAGTGGTCCTCTCGCCAGCAGCGTGTGCTGATGATGTTTGATACGGAAACAGCCCCATAACCTGCCGGACCAGCTGTTGCGTCTTTTTCTCAATCTCTTCCTCTAGTGCACATTTTTCTTCTTTCCTGTCTCCTCTGCTCTATCCTTCGTCGTCCCTTTTACCCTCCTCTTCCTGTCTGTCTTATACTTTTTTCCCTCAGTCTTCCCTCTTTCTCTTCTACATCTCAGCTCCATCCTATATCTCTGATCTATTATCTCCCTACGAGCTGGGACTCCATCCTATACAGTGGGGGGGAAAAGTATTTAGTCAGCCACCAATTGTGCAAGTTCTCCCACTTAAAAAGATGAGAGAGGCCTGTAATTTTCATCATCATCCAGAAAATCACATTGTAGGATTTTTTATGAATTTATTTGCAAATTATGGTGGAAAATAAGTATTTGGTCACCTACAAACAAGCAAGATTTCTGGCTCTCACAGACCTGTAACTTCTTCTTTAAGAGGCTCCTCTGTCCTCCACTCGTTACCAGTATTAATGGCACCTGTTTGAACTTGTTATCAGTATAAAAGACACCTGTCCACAACCTCAAACAGTCACACTCCAAACTCCACTATGGCCAAGACCAAAGAGCTGTCAAAGGACACCAGAAACAAAATTGTAGACCTGCACCAGGCTGGGAAGACTGAATCTGCAATAGGTAAGCAGCTTGGTTTGAAGAAATCAACTGTGGGAGCAATTATTAGGAAATGGAAGACATACAAGACCACTGATAATCTCCCTCAATCTGGGGCTCCACGCAAGATCTCACCCCGTGGGGTCAAAATGATCACAAGAACGGTGAGCAAAAATCCCAGAACCACACGGGGGGACCTAGTGAATGACCTGCAGAGAGCTGGGACCAAAGTAACAAAGCCTACCATCAGTAACACACTACGCCGCCAGGGACTCAAATCCTGCAGTGCCAGACGTGTCCCCCTGCTTAAGCCAGTACATGTCCAGGCCCGTCTGAAGTTTGCTAGAGTGCATTTGGATGATCCAGAAGAGGATTGGGAGAATGTCATATGGTCAGATGAAACCAAAATATAACTTTTTGGTAAAAAATGACAAATAATGCTGAGTTGCATCCAAAGAACACCATACCTACTGTGAAGCATGGGGGTGGAAACCTCATGCTTTGGGGCTGTTTTTCTTCAAAGGGACCAGGACGACTGATCCGTGTAAAGGAAAGAATGAATGGGGCCCTGTATCGTGAGATTTTGAGTGAAAACCTCCTTCCATCAGCAAGGGCATTGAAGATGAAACGTGGCTGGGTCTTTCAGCATGACAATGATCCCAAACACACCGCCCGGGCAATGAAGGAGTGGCTTCGTAAGAAGCATTTCAAGGTCCTGGAGTGGCCTAGCCAGTCTCCAGATCTCAACCCCATAGAAAATCTTTGGAGGGAGTTGAAAGTCTGTGTTGCCCAGCGACAGCCCCAAAACATCACTGCTCTAGAGGAGATCTGCATGGAGGAATGGGCCAAAATACCAGCAACTGTGTGTGAAAACCTTGTGAAGACTTACAGGAAACGTTTGACCTGTGTCATTGCCAACAAAGGGTATATAACAAAGTATTGAGAAACTTTTGTTATTGACCAAATACTGATTTTCCACCATAATTTGCAAATAAATTCATTAAAAATCCTACAATGTGATTTTCTGGATTTTTTTTTCTCATTTTGTCTGTCATAGTTGACGTGTACCTATGATGAAAATTACAGGCCTCTCTCATCTTTTTAAGTGGGAGAACTTGCACAATTGGTGGCTGACTAAATACTTTTTTCCCCCACTGTATCTCTGATCTATTATCTCCCTACGAGCTGGGACTCAGCCTGAGATCCTCTGGCAGGGCACTGTTGACCATTCCAAAGTCTAGGTTGAAAACAAAAGGAGACCGGGCATTTGCAATTAGGGCACTTAGATTTTGGCTTGCAGATTCAGTGCCTGTTTTTAAATCCCTGCTGAAGACACACGTTTCTAAAGATGCTTTTAATGTATGATTTCAATTTATGATTTTAATTAGCTATCTTTTTTTCATTCTCCTTCCTCCTATCTTTATTTCTTTGTTAGTACTTTTATTATTTTATGATGTGAAGCACTTTATACGCTATACAAATAAAGTTATTATTATCTGCTATCCACTCATTCTTCCCCCTCTCCTTCCTCAGTGATCTGAATCACAGCACACAGTATGTCCAGGGCCTGGCCTTGTGCACCCTGGGCTGCATGGGCTCCTCAGAGATGTGTCGAGACCTGGCTGGAGAGGTGGAGAAGCTGCTCAAAACATCCAACTCCTACCTGAGGAAAAAGGTACCTACCTCTCATTCTCACCTAGCCCACATTCACTACATTTACATTTACATTTTAGTCATTTAGCAGACGCTCTTATCCAGAGCGACTTACAGTTACACTATTTACAAAGAAGTGTTGGTCAGGTGATCAGTTTGAAGTGCATTAGCAGACCTGCCAACGTGCACTCATTTTGCGTACCATGCACACAATTTGAGGTCAAAGTACGCTGGTACGAAAAACTACCCTAAAATACGCTTCTATTGGTACAACCGTCTGAAGTTGGAGCTGATCCAATCAGGACTTGGGCGAGGAGAAAACATCTCTAACTCTCCAGCCTGCCCCCCATAGTCGTAGTAGTCTATTATTTTTCTGCCTCGAGCTGAATGGCAGCTCTCCACCTTGTCCGTTGATACCGCTGATGTGTGAGGACAAAGTGTAGGGAAAATGGAGAACGAACTGTTTGCCGGATACATTTTCCAAATTGTATGTGTTAGTCAAGCACATAACCACTACATTTCGTAGTTAGTTCCTTCGTCATTACGACAAATGTAGAAAAATTTGAAATTGTCACTGAGAGCACCTCAATTTCATTTAGGAGACTTCTGTGTTGGCTACATTGTTTGATATATATATACAGTGGGGAGAACAATGTAGAGGTCTGTAATTTTTTATCATAGGTACACTTCAACTGTGAGAGACGGAATCTAAAACAAAAATCCAGAAAATCACATTGTATGATTTTTAAGTAATTAATTTGCATTTTATTGCATGACATAAGTATTTGAACACCTACCAACCAGTAAGAATTCTGGCTCTCACAGACCTGTTAGTTTTTCTTTAAGAAGCCCTCCTGTTTTCCACTCATTACCTGTATTAACTGCACCTGTTTGAACTCGTTACCTGTATAAAAGACACCTGTCCACACACTCAATCAAACAGACTCCAACCTCTCCACAATGGCCAAGACCAGAGAGCTGTGTAAGGACATCAGGGATAAAATTGTAGACCTGCACAAGGCTGGGATGGGCTACAGGACAATAGGCAAGCAGCTTGGTGAGAAGGCAACAACTGTTGGCGCAATTATTAGAAAATGGAAGAAGTTCAAGATGACGGTCAATCACCCTCGGTCTGGGGCTCCATGCAAGATCTCACCTCGTGGGGCATCAATGATCATGAGGAAGGTGAGGGATCAGCCCAGAACTACACGGCAGGACCTGGTCAATGACCTGAAGAGAGCTGGGACCACAGTCTCAAAGAAAACCATTAGTAACACACTACGCCGTCATGGATTAAAATCCTGCAGCGCACGCAAGGTCCCCCTGCTCAAGCCAGCGCATGTCCAGGCCCGTCTGAAGTTTGCCAATGACCATGTGGATGATCCAGAGGAGGAATGGGAGAAGGTCATGTGGTCTGATGAGACAAAAATAGAGCTTTTTGGTCTAAACTCCACTCGCCGTGTTTGGAGGAAGAAGAAGGATGAGTACAACCCCAAGAACACCATCCCAACCGTGAAGCATGGAGGTGGAAACATCATTCTTTGGGGATGCTTTTCTGCAAAGGGGACAGGACGACTGCACCGTATTGAGGGGAGGATAGATGGGGCCATGTATCGCGAGATCTTGGCCAACAACCTCCTTCCCTCAGTAAGAGCATTGAAGATGGGTCGTGGCTGGGTCTTCCAACACACAGCCAGGGCAACTAAGGAGTGGCTCCGTAAGAAGCATCTCAAGGTCCTGGAGTGGCCTAGCCAGTCTCCAGACCTGAACCCAATAGAAAATCTTTGGAAGGAGCTGACAGTCCGTATTGTCCAGCGACAACCCCGAAACCTGAAGGATCTGGAGATGGTCTGTATGGACCTACAGGAAACGTATGATCTCTGTAATTGCAAACAAAGGTTTCTGTACCAAATATTAAGTTCTGCTTTTCTGATGTATCAAATACTTATGTCATGCAATAAAATGCAAATAAATTACTTAAAAATCATACAATGTGATTTTCTGGATATTTGACTAAAATGTAAATACATACATACATACATACATACATACATACATACATACATACATACATACATACATACATACATGCATACTAAACAAAAAATATAAATGCAACAATTTCAATGATTTTACAGAGTTACAGTTCATATAAGGAAATCAGTCAATTTAAATACATTCATTAGGCCCTAATCTATGGATTTCACATGACTGGGCAGGGGCACAGCCATGGGTGGGCCTGGGACGGCATAGGTCCACCCACTGGGGAGCCAGGCCCAGCCAATCAGAATACGTTTTTACCCACAAAAGGGCTTTATTACAGACAGAAATACTCCTCCGTTTCATCAGCTGTCCGGGTGGCTGGTCTCAGACGATCCCGCAGGTGAAGAAGCCGGATGCGGAGGTCCTGGGCTGGCGTGGTTACACGTGGCCTGCGGTTGTGAGGCCGGTTGAACGTACTGCCAAATTCTCTAAAACTACATAGGTGGCTTATGGTACAGAAATAAACATGACATTCTCTGGCAACAGCTCTGGTGGACATTCCTGCAGTCAGCATGCCAATTGCACGCTCTCTCAAACATGAGACATCTGTGGCATTGTGTTGTGTGACACAACTGCACATTTTAGTGGCCTTATTGTCCCCAGCACAAGGTGCACCTGTGTAATGATCATGCTGTTTAATCAGCTTCTTGATATGCCACACCTGTCAGGTGGATGGATTATCTCGGCAAAGAAGAAATGCTCACTAACAGGGATGTAAAAATGTTTGGGGGATATTTTATTTCAGCTCATTAAACATGAGCTACATATATGTCTACATATTTCTAGTTAGCTACTGAAGAGCAGCCAATTACCAAGTACCCATAAGTCTATAGCCTACCATTCCTACTGAGACAGTCTTCTGCCAACATCATTATTAGGCAAAAAAAAGGTGCATTTTGCCTATGATTTGAGCAGTGTGGGTGTTGCGCGCGCCGTCGTGGGGGGCTGGGGGTGCCGCCGCCGCGCTGAAGTCGTACTCATAACAATTATTCAAGGTTGGCAGGTCTGTGTTAGCATGTCACAGTAGAGCACTTTGGAAAACATTACAATTTTGTCCCCAGGCAGCGTTGTGTGCAGTCCACGTCATCAGGAAGGTCCCAGAGCTGATGGAGATGTTCCTCCCAGCCACAAAAAACCTGCTGAGCGAGAAGAACCACGGTGAGACAACAGGGGCTGGGGGCAACTGTGCATTGGGTTTGGTCACTCACAGATAAAATAGGGATGCTGTGTCCTTCAAAGGGAAAATTGGTCTGGTGCCCTCTACACAGTTGAAATGTCCTTCAGTGAAAAGAGCTGGATTAATGACTGTGTCCTGATGAGCTGTGGGACTGCTGCGTCCTTCACAGCAGGCAGGGGTGTCATAGTACAATGGCTGATGTTCTGACAGCTTTATAAAGCGGCACGCTTGTCAGAACCAACGTTATCACTTCGAATATATTTCTAAACGAGTTTGATAGATGAAGTTTGCCCTAGACACTAAGGTCAGTTTTGTGTTTTTCCCCTCAATGGTCAAGGTAAGGATTTGGGGAGGGTAAGTTGATGCTAGATATAAACCTGTAGTCGTCTTTGTAGTGCTAAAATGGGGCTTAATGACGTTTAAACTGACACTTACTAAGAGTGAGATTCCAGATTATAAACCACCACAACGGAGCCAGCAAACAGAGCTTCCCCCATAGACTATGTTCCTTATTTTAGTAACAATGCTGTGACATTGCTAAAACATTGACTCCCAGGGAATTGGCAAGGAAATGTGTGCACATTTTGTGAACTACTACTGTTCACCAGGGATGCTGTTTGTAGACTGGTTTCTCTTTGTCTCCTTAAGGTGTTCTCCACACTTCTGTTGTCCTCCTCACTGAAATGTGTGAAAGAAGTCCTGACATGCTCTTACACTTCAGAAAGGTATGGATAGCCACGATCTAATTAGCTGAAATTACTACTATCAAGAGTTTTTGGGTAACAGCGTAACACATCAGCAAATCTTTAGGGAGTTAATTAAGCATTTGTCTTAAACTCACTCTACATTTCATTCTCTCTGTGTATTCATTTTCCTTTCACTATGACTGTTTTAAATATACTTCAAACATATTTTGCCTTTTGAAACCTTTTTCCCATAAGGTTTGCTCCACATTCAAAGTAGGCCTATGTCTCAGTCGTATCTCCTTGCCTCGCTTCTTTCCTTGCTGTATCTCTAGTGGTTTTGTACCTCTTTCCCTTAGCCGTAAACAACCTCCAGCCAGCCTCCCACACCTCATGTTCATGATCAAAACATTACTTTGAGCTCTCTCTAAAAGTGAATCTTTTCCCTAACATCTACCTCATATTTTTTCTGTCATTTGTCTTTGTTACAATTCCTGCATTGTGTTAGAATGAGAAGGTAAGAGTACATTCTGGTTTCATAGCTGGTGCATGCTGTAACTAGTAATCACTTCACACGGTCACTGTAGATGTAATCAAATCTGTGTTCTGTAAAGTTTTTTTGTGTGTTTTTAATTTCTTTGACTTTTACAGCGGTCATATGTTGGTGTTCTCTTTTGATATCATGACAGGATTTTTTAAAATGTTTCTTAGACATCTCTCACTATTGTTAATGTGTCATCATTAACCTAATGTATAACTCATTTGATCACTGTATGTTGAAAACAACATGATGGGTCTGTTTTCAATTGATCACCTCCAGTGTTCTCACTATACACCGATGGTTTTATGTCTGTTAAAAGGGGGGATATGTGACTGTATGCATACAAATATATATTTAAGAAAAATATATTCGCATTGTTGCAAATTGTCTATGAATACTCTTGCCTAGCATTCCTGGTAAGAATTATAATTAGGTTACTATTTCATCCAGATGTGATTGAATGTGACATCACAGTTCGATTAGCTTTTCAAAACCGAACATCCTAACCGAATGTTTTCATACAATCAATGTTGTCTTGACTACCATGATTAAATCAAGAGAATATAAAGAATAACTGCACATTCTACAAAATACTTTGTCAAGTTATTTCAGTAACAAGGTAGTACACCGATTCCTCAGAAATAAAGACCTTGACCCTTGATGGCACCCCCCCTCTCCTGTTTGTTGGTCTTTTGTAGTTGGTTCCACAGCTGGTGAGAATCCTGAAGAACCTGATCATGTCTGGATACTCTCCTGAGCACGACGTGTCTGGCATCAGTGACCCCTTCTTGCAGGTGAGACCTTTGACCTTGTGTTTCGTGCCAATCATTTGATTTTACTCCTCTGTAACATAAACTTGGCTAGGCCAGTCAGTGATGACCCTTGTCTTCATTGCAGGTGCGGATATTGAGACTATTGCGAATTCTGGGCAGGAGTGATGATGACTCAAGTGAAGCAATGAATGACATTCTTGCACAGGTGAAAATATAGGTTAATCAATAGGACTCAAGGCTTACTGCCCTAGATATTGTTTTACAATCAGACTAATGGTTTCTTCACCCTTGTAGGTGGCAACCAACACCGAGACCAGTAAAAATGTAGGCAATGCAATCCTCTACGAGACAGTACTGACCATAATGGACATCAAATCAGAAAGTGGATTGAGGGTGTTGGCCATCAACATACTGGGACGCTTCCTTCTCAACAATGACAAAAATATTAGGTAAGTAAAACACTTGGGCAACTAATTCATTGAATGATCTGAACAGGTCATCAAAGTCCCAGGTAATATAACACTTAATGTGACTTTATGGTGTCTTTTTGTCCACTCTCAAGATATGTGGCACTGACGTCCCTACTGAAGACGGTACAGACGGACCACAATGCAGTTCAGAGGCATCGGAGCACCATTGTGGACTGTCTAAAAGACCTGGATGTGTCCATCAAGAGGTGAGACCTACACTTAAATGAGGAGAACATGAGTGACATACAGTATAGACATTAGTACATAACACACTAGTAAAACACACTGCTAGTCACTGTACATACAGTGAGGGGAAAAAAAGTATTTGATCCCCTGCTGATTTTGTACGTTTGCCCACTGACAAAGACATGATAAGTCTATAATTTTAATGGTAGGTGTATTTGAACAGTGAGAGACAGAATAACAACAAAAAAATCCAGAAAAACGCATGTAAAAATTTTTTTATAAATTGATTTGCATTTTAATGAGGGAAATAAGTATTTGACCCCTCTGCAAAACATGACTTAGTACTTGGTGACAAAACCCTTGTTGGCAATCAGAGGTCAGACGTTTCTTGTAGTTGGCCACCAGGTTTGCACACATCTCAGGAGGGATTTTGTTCCACTCCTCTTTGCAGATCTTCTCCAAGTCATTAAGGTTTCGAGGCTGACGTTTAGCAACTCGAACCTTCAGCTCCCTCCACAGATTTTCTATGGGATTAAGGTCTGGAGACTGACTAGGCCACTCCAGGACCTTAATGTGCTTCTTCTTGAGCCACTCCTTTGTTGCCTTGGCCATGTGTTTTGGGTCATTGTCATGCTGGAATACCCATCCACGACCCATTTTCAATGCCCTGGCTGAGGGAAGGAGGTTCTCACCCAAGATTTGACGGTACATGGCCCCGTCCATCGTCCCATTGATGCGGTGAAGTTGTCCTGTCCCCTTAGCAGAAAAACACCCCCAAAGCATAATGTTTACACCTCCATGTTTGACGGTGGGGATGGTGTTCTTGGGGTCATAGGCAGCATTCCTCCTCCTCTGAATCATTCATATGTTCATTGGCAAACATCAGACGGCCCTGTCTATGTGCTTTCTTGAGCAGGGGGACCTTGCGGGCGCTGCAGGATTTCAGTCCTTCACGGCGTAGTGTGTTACCAATTGTTTTCTTGGTGACTATGGTCCCAGCTGCCTTGAGATCATTGACAAGGTCCTCCTGTGTAGTTCTGGGCTGATTCCTCACCCTTCTCATGATCATTGCAACTCCACGAGGTGAGATCTTGCATGGAGCCCCAGGCAGAGGGAGATTGACAAGTATTTTGCGTTTCTTCCATTTGCGAATAATCGCACCAACTGTTGTCACCTTCTCACCAAGCTGCTTGGCGATGGTCTTGTAGCCCATTCCAGCCTTGTGTAGGTCTACAATCTTGTCCCTGACATCCTTGGAGAGCTCTTTGGTCTTGGCCATGGTGGAGAGTTTGGAATCTGATTGATTGCTTCTGTGGACAGGTGTCTTTTTATACAGGTAACAAGCTGAGATTAGGAGCACTCCCTTTAAGAGTGTGCTACTAATCTCAGCTCGTTACCTGTATAAAAGATACCTGGGAGCCAGAAATCTTTCTGACTGAGAGGGGGTCAAATACTTATTTCCCTCATTAAAATGCAAATCAATTTATAACATTTTTTACATGCGTTTATCTGGATTATTTTGTTGTTATTCTGTCTCTCACTGTTCAAATAAACCTACCATTAAAAATAGACTGTTCATTTCTTTGTCAGTGGGCAAACGTACAAAATCAGCAGGGGATCAAATACTTTTTTCCCTCACTGTACATTTCTGCACAAAATAAGGGTCAGAAGATGTAGAGATTTCCTTGTCTTATCGTCCTCCCATTCTCCTCGGTAGGCGTGCGATGGAGCTGAGCTTCGCCCTGGTGAATGGGAACAACATCCGAGGCATGATGAAGGAGCTGCTCTACTTCCTGGACTCCTGTGACCCAGAATTCAAAGCGGACTGTGCGTCTGGAGTCTTCCTGGCTGCAGAGAAGTAAGGCTCTGGGGTGTGGTCCAGTTAGAGCTGGAAGATCCGTAGAGATCAGGCTTTGCCAATCAGAAGGCTCTTGCTAGTTCCATAGCAACATTAAGCAGTTGCACCATGTGAAACCGTTCTCAACATTATCTCGTGGCTTGTAGGTCTTTACCACCTCATTTTGTTTGTATTGGCCGTTGCTCAGCAGTTGTAGTAGTGGTTCGAGAGGTAAGAGGAGAAGGATTAGTAGTGATGGTAAGAGAGGCCATGGCAGCAGTAGTTTCTGCATGTGGGCTGCTGACACAGATCCTGACTGAACGCCTCAAGCACCTCAAATGATTAACTATTGTTTCGGCTACCTTTGGTTACTGTGTATGGCTTACTTATTAAAATGCTGTATGATGATAAAATGAGTGATCCATCGTCAGAGCATGACATTGTTGATACCATATATTTTCTGACAGCATAAACCTCAGTCCAACCTTTTTGAGTTCATGGTTATGTGATTCTCTGCTCTGTGTAATGCAGAGGTGACTGATGCGTGTTCTGTGTCACAGGTATGCGCCTTCAAAAAGATGGCACATTGACACCATCATGCGAGTCTTGACAACGGTATGTACAATTTCATCAAATACTTTTCTTTTGGTTGACTCAGCACAGATTATGGTAAAAAAATTTTTAAAATAATGCTTGACTGTTGAGTGACGAATCCTTGAGTGATCCATCGACTGAAAACTACAAATGATGATCTCATCATATCTGACAACAGCCTCTTTTTACCATCTTAGACACTTTTTAGTGTCTAGTCTTGAAAGTGTTTTTGTTGCTGACCCTATACAAAATGATCATCTGCCTCATTGTCCATTTTGAGACGGGTTTCTTTTAACAACACCTTTTTGTGTCTAGGCGGGGAGCTATGTCCGAGACGACTCCGTCCCCAACCTCATCCAGCTCATCACCAACAGTGTGGAGATGCATGCCTACACGGTGCAGAGACTCTACAAAGCCCTACTGGATGATATCTCACAGGTCCGAGACATCTCTGGTCACACACGTCATACACACGCCTTGTATGATAAGGGGAAAACACACATTGAAACGTAGCCCAGTAACTAGACAAAAAAAGAGGAACCTGACAATGAATATGTTGATTGAAACGTTATTGGATCACTAAAGATCACATTTGGAAGTAGCAAACAGTGTGCGGATGTTTCCCTTCCTCTCTGAGGAGGATTGGTTACAGTGAATCTGATCTATCTGAAGTATAAGCGTTTGTCTCCCATAGCAACCTCTGGTCCAGGTGTCATCCTGGTGTATAGGGGAGTATGGAGACCTGCTGGTATCTGGACAGTGTGAGGAGGAGGAGCCCATCCAGGTAGACGTCCTGAAGCACTCAATCACCTCAACTATTTCATCTACAACGTTACACACAACATGTCTACGTGTACTGCCGACCCCCAGAAGTTGAAATGGATATATTTTCTCCCCTTCCTTTGCAACAGGTGACAGAGGATGAAGTCCTGGATGTTTTAGAAGGTCTTCTTGTGTCTAACTTGTCCACCCCTGTAACCCGGGGTTACTCCCTCACTGCCATCATGAAGCTGTCTACTCGCTTCAGCAGTGTCAAGTGAGTCCAACAGTGTTGAGCAGAGAGAATATCCAACAGGTTATGATGATATCCCTTAGCTTTGAAATGAATGGCAGGATGCACACTCAAGGTGAACATTTTTGTCTTTAAATCTCCAGCCGAATCAAGAAGGTGGTGTCAATATACGGCAGCAGCATCGACGTGGAGCTGCAACAGAGAGCTGTGGAGTACAATGCACTTTTCAAGAAATATGATCACATGAGGTGATTATACACCAAAATGTATTCCCATTCATTACAAGCACTTTTCTGTAGAAATGATTGGCGCTTCCCTTGTTTAGTTACCATTAAGTCAAGGAAATTGACCTTTTTCCTTCTCCCCATCTCATTCTCTTCCTCTCTGAAGGCCTGCCTTACTAGAGCGAATGCCCATCATGGAGAAAACCGCCTCCAATGGCCATACAGAGATTGTTCAGACCAATGGGGAGACAGAGCCCTCGGTGCCTGACACAAAACACCCGCCCCTAGTCACCCAGCCAGCAAACCAGGTGAGGGCCAGGTCACATGACATATCTGTACTTACCACTGCTGGGAGGTTTTCTTTCACAGAAAATGTGGAGCTGAATTAATGGATCAACATTTGGGGACTGATTCAATCCATATCGCCGAAGTTCAGCGTTATACTCACTTGTAATGTAAAGGTAATTTCCGATTGAGCTGACATATGCAGCAGCTTTTATCGTGAATGCAGTCTTTGCTGATGCGGGAACATTGTCTTTAAATGTATATTGAGGTGTAGCGCAGATCTTCAGCGATACGAATTGAATCGAGCCCTTAAGCTCTTTAAAACGCACGAATGCACGCACACAAACATTCTTTAAGTTTTGATTGCTATTCATGTGGTGAAAGTCCACAAATCAGTGAGTCTGCTAATGCTTTTACACACTGATCAAACAAGGACCCCTGCTGGTAAGAAAATTAAAAACTGCTGGGCATATCAATCTACAGATTAATATGAAGTCGTCTACATTTTCCTTTGTAGACTTCTGACTTGAGTGAAAAAAATATTTTACAATCTTTCATGTTTTTAAATAAACCGTAAATCAGATGTTATTCAGGGCACCGTTGTTTTGTCCAAATCCTTCCTACATTCCAGGTTTAATCTACATGTGATTTCTGATTTGGTTTCTCTTCTGTTCCAGGCTAATGACTTGTTAGACCTGCTGGGAGGTAATGATGTGGTGACTGTGATCCAGACCACCCTGCCCACCAAGCCTGCCTCGGCTGGAGGAGAGCTGCTCGACCTGCTGGGGGACCTCTCACTGTCTGGTAGGACCACAGTCTCTCTCTCTCATTCCTTTTCTTTCTGTCTCTCCTATTTCCCTCCAGCCCAAAGCACAGGTGGACCAACCGGGGTCCTTGGTCAGGGCAACTTGATTGGTTTCTTTTTCTCTTTCATAGCAGTGTCTCTCCACCACCTATTCTTCCTGTCACCCTCCCTGCACCTTCCTTCATATAGAAACCACATGAGTCACTCCACATCCTGCTTGACTTGGTCAGGAATCAACTTGTCTTGTGAGCTATCACCAATGGTATCACTGTTATGTCTGTGTGTGGTTCCCTGTACCCTTTTGGAACCCCCTGTGTTGTTGTCCCCCTCCCTAGGTGGTCCAGCTCCTGCCCCCTCTGTGCCCATCTCCCAGCCCCCCTTCCTCCTGGATGGCCTCTCCTCACAGCCCCTGTTTAATGATATTTCAGCAGGTGAGAGCTAGCGCTCATCAGTGAAGCTTTCAAATTTCTCATTTGATCCAAATCCAACCACTCTCCCACCATGTTGTTTAGAAAGCTGTCACTACTCCAGAGTACTCTATGTATCCCTTTTAAAACAATGCGACCTTATAGAAGTTCCTACAATGTTTTTGGGGGGGGGTTATGATGTTTGGTACTACTTTTTCACTCTGAATTGTATTGACCTATGTGTTCTTGTCTTTAGCTATTCCCCCCATGACAGCGTATAGCAAGAATGGCCTGAAAATAGAGTTCACCTTTGAGAGGGCCAACCCGAACCCGAACATAGCAGTCATCACTATCCACGCCACCAACACCACCGAGGCTGACATGACAGAGTTTGTTTTCCAGGCTGCAGTACCAAAGGTGAGCCATGACTGGACAGTCACATTTGTATAACTATGTAATATTAAGAAAAATATGTGTGGGTCTATGATTGACCTCTGTAGCGATGTACAGTTTACTGAAGGTTGCGAATATTCAGGTGCAGGTGTCCTACGAAGCAGACTAGGCAGGAGCAGTATTTGATGCTCTCTGTGTCCCTCTCCTTCAGACATTCCAGCTGCAGCTCTTGTCCCCTAGCAGTAATATTGTCCCAGCGCTCAACCAGGGAAGCGTCACACAGGTCATCAGAGTTCTCAACCCACAGAAGGTAAGATATGTTCCTGTTTGTCCTCATCTTCCTCCTTGTCCTCACATTCTTATTGGTGCAATCAGAGATATTTAGTGCAGAGGGGTCCTATAGAGTTAACTCGCTCCCTGTGTAAACAAGCTTCTAATAGCAGGAGGTGTCATTGAAGACGTATGACAGATCATTAAAGTTGTTTTATCTCTGGATCAGCTCAACTAGACATTGAGTAGTTCATATTGCTTTAATAAACATGTCTTTCTCATGATTTACAGCAACCAACTGCGCATGAGGGTCAAGCTGACGTACACCCACATCGGCTCACCTGTCCAAGACCTGGCCGAGGTCAACAACTTCCCTCCTCAGTCCTGGCAATGATGACCGTGCCCCCTCGCTCTTAAAGACACCGCCAAGGGAACTATGGGAAAGACTCTCCTCTCCCCTCCCTTACCCCGACTGATCCCCCTGTGACATCACTGCAGACTGCTGCCCTGGGGTTGCATGGGAAGCAGCGGAATTTCTAACACACACAAAAAGATGGTATGAAGACCATGATGACGACAACAGCAACAACAACGGCAATGACGATAGACATCACCAGAAATATGTGAAAACATATCCATTTACTAACCCTTCTTTTCCTTGATTGGTTTCACCTCAATCTGTCTGCTTTGCAGTTGCCACTATTTCCATCTCCTCACCCCCTCAATGCACGTATGCCCACATTGCACTCGCTGTGGTACGACCCTACCCTCTAAGCTGCCGCCGTCGTAGAAAAGAGCTGTTGGCTATGAGCACTTGTTAAATCCATCTGTTTTTCTTTTGTTTCATGTTTAATCTTAGTTATTTAACATGGGTAGGTTTTTTAAACCTATTTTCAAGCTTGAATGAGATGCAACTTAACTCTATGAAATTTGCACACTGTCCAGTCACCACTTTCCCAATTGGGTTTGGAAACTTAGAGTACTGTGGCTCTCAGTAATGAATCTAGTTTGGTCTCCAAAGTGACTATAACACATTCTGTTATAAAGATCTCCAGCTCTATGCTTCAAATGCAAGGTCTTCGGTTGCAGTACAAAGGTTAATCTTTCGTGGACAGATTCTGCGTGTAAACCGAAGAATCTGTCACGACGGGATGGAATGCGTAGGATCAGTTTTCGTCACTGATTATTTGGAGGTGTCAGGATTGGCCGAAGGTGGTGCTTAAACTTCGACTGCTTCACTCATGTGGGGAAATTAGTGGAAGTGGTGGGTGGGGGGCTTTGGCTAAGAGTTTCCTTTTGCGAGGGTGGAGACGTCGCAAACCGGAACTCCCAATTTCTAACACGTATGGACCCACAACGACATCACGCAGCTCACTAAATTACGCAAGATTTTAGTTCTGGGTTAACCGAGATTATACAAACATTCACATTATGACTTTTTCCAGTTGTACCGGGCCTGCTCTTTTACATCCATTAACTTTGGCAGCAGAAAAGGTTTTAAAGACCCAGAGCACTTAATTTGACCCTCCATCTCATGAGTGATTTTAAAAGGCAAGAGATATGTTGAGTCGTTTTGAAGTCAGTTTGAGAGTTGTTTGAATCCCATTCACCTTGGTTGGCCAGAAAGGCCTCTCAGCAGGATTGAGATATTGTAAATGGATAAAGTGCATATTTCGAAGGATGGAGTTTATTTGTTTGTCATGGGCTGGTAAACACACAGTATGGTTCCATGTTCGTTAGTTTGGTCAGCAGTTTGGTAGCCATAGTACGGCGCTATCTTGTAAACGTTTATTCATGCCATCTTGTTAAATTCCACTGTTAATTGCTTAGATCAAGCTGAGGTTATTGAAGCAATATGGATATTGTATATCAGTGCAGGTCTGAGACACATCTTAGTTATAGGCAAATCCTTAAACAGAGATTCATTGAATATATTAACTTTGGAAGTATTCAATCTTCCATGCATCTGAACAAACAGCCTGAAATGTAATATTCACAGCTTTGGGACGTCAAAACGTATGTCCCTTTTTAGACTATTAACCTGGCTGGACATAGCCAGCCTAGAGACATCGTGGACGTACATGTAAATTAAGTCTATTTGGAATGTAGTTATATGCACTGAATGCGTTTTCTTTTCAGTCTTTTTCTGTGGCTCTCCTCTTCTTTGAGGGCGCTGGCCATTTTGTTGGCACTATTTTTGTGGTTGTATGATTTGTTTTTTGCAGTGATTTGACTTAAACATTATTGCCTGATATCAAAATGATGTGCCTTTTGACATAACTAGATGAAGTCCCTAAACTGGTCTCATCTGATCTGTGTGAGGAGGGTTTGTGTGTCAGGGAGTGCTTATTGTGGGTTATATCCTGCCTAAAGAGCAGGCAAGACAGACAGGCTGGATGAAGGAAGGAGTCGAAGAAGAATGTGACCTTTTATTTTAGAGACATCTCACTCTCTGAGTTTCTAGCATTTAGAGTGGAAATTATGTAGTCGGATATCAGTGTAGCTTGCTGTGTGGTGACTGTTGGTGTGATTCTTTGGCTGTCATACTTCTCCAAATCAGGTTCCCGACCAAGCTGTCAGAAACATTAACCTGAATACCTCAATGTTTTCTCTTCCTGTTAACTATCAACAGTACAGTACCTGGATAGCTGTATTTAGTCTTGTGTATGATCTGCAATCAAGTGGGCACCTGTAAGACATCTCATTACTAACAAGCTTAGCTGCCCAATGATGCTGTATGTGTTCAGACCTTCAGATGTTCAATATACTTCCTGATATTCACTATGCTACACTATCAAACTGTTGTGACCAAATCGGAGATGCTATTAGCTTTGGGAATAAGCTTTGGAAATATTTTTGAGCAATGATATGTGTATATGGAGAAAATGATTTCATTCTGTTAACTTTTTTTTTAACTAAATGCTATATATGCTTTTTCTGTACATATTGAGGGCTTTTATGATTCGTCAATTGTCCTATCTTTCTTCCCTTTTTTTAGATACCAACCATTTTCTAAGACTTCCAATTAATCACGGTGTATATTGTCTGAATAGATCTTAGTCAACATTATGGTCTAAAGAAAAGACTTCCCTATTTCATCAGTCATCGCAAAAGATGTATAATCGGCTGCCTGTACATTGTATATAATTGTAAAACTAAACAAAGAAAAGATGATCAAATGAAATAAAAACCCATTTGAAGACTTCTACAGATTAGCTAGGGACTATAATTGTATACATATATGTAAAAAAAGAATCATCTTGAAACGATGCAAATGAGCTGCATTCTCTTCATATTCTTAAAGATTGGATGTATCATCTTTTTTTCTTCTTTTTGCTGATTTAGTGGGTGAGTAGGCTGCTATTGGTTTCTTATAGATGTCGACTTAAGGTTTGGTTGGGCAGAACTGGTGTTGTCTGTGAGTGATGTACTGTACGACTGAGAGGTCTGTGAGCTGAGCACGGTGACCGAGGTGGCACCTTGTCTGTATTCGTGGTCTTCAGAAAGGCCTAATCTGTTTTCAAATGCTCCTTAAGAGGAGTATGCCTCTTGCTAAGACGCTGGAACACCTCCCTTGGCCTGTAATGTGCTTTGTTTTTTTCTCTCCCCAGCAAAAGTAATTGGATATAATTAATGCTGTCAGACATGCAAGCTAATTAATGGACGGATGACCTACCTACATTGCACATGGTCCTTCTAAGAGAGAGATTCTCATTGTTGGCCCCCTTTTTAAGTCTCGTATTGGCAGGTCTCTGTGTTGTTTTCCTCCGGTCCTATAGATCCTCTCCCCATTCATCTGGCATCTCACCTCCCCACGTTAATTGTATTGGATTTCAGAGACATGAGAATGGGCCCTGAGTTTCTCTGAAGTGTTGAGTGAGGTCGTTTTTTTACCCTTGTGATGCTGTTGCACATACCTTTTATTGTAAGGTGGGGAGTGAATATCCTGAGTATTATCAGGCTATGAGAGGTTTCATCTGTGTGTGGTATATGATTCATTAAGTAGTAAGGGCTTGTCCTTTCTTGGGGTTGACAGATACAAGGTGCTCTTGGCTGCCTGTTATCATCCACTCTATTACTGGGTCTGTTCATCGCTCCTGGTGACTGTCTTACGGACTGGTTTGTACGGCTCATAGAGAGCAGAGAATAGGCCTGGTTCTGTTACAGGGAACTGGCCAGCGGGGCAGTTGAAGTTCAGGCTCTCTAAGATGAAATATGATCCTTTCTATTTATTGAAATCCAATTCAAAAATCAGGACTGAAGTGTGAGGCTGATCTCTCTGCTGTGTGTATTGCCTTTTGGTGTCTACATTTTTTTTCAGAAGACCTGTAATCTTGATGCAGTGCTGCTTGACCTGTCCTTGAGATATGACTCAACTATAACACTGAGCTGAAGCTGCATGTTAGCTGTGCTGTGAGCTAATTTCCACAAGGGGGAGCTGGTCAAGATAGAAGGCTGTAGGGAAGGGAAAGATATCTCATACTTGTACCTTGTCTTGAATGTTTTGTTTTTATCGGTTCGATTCCAGCATGACCCTCTGTCAATCATGTTTGACCAGTTAACGCTTTTAAGGATACAGTGCCCCCATATAGTTTTAAATGAGAAATGCATATGAAGGTGAAATCCCATTGGCTTGGACACTGCATCTTAAAAAGGACATTTGTAAAGGAAAGAACCCCTCAGAGGTCTGATCAGCTTTTGAAGCGTTTTGTTTGTCTAATCAGCCAGTATACGTGTGTGTAAATATCTCTTGAGTGTGTTGGCATGTCTTGCTACACTCACCTGGTAGGACATGACATTGGCTGCAATGATTTCAATTCACAACTTCTGAGCTGCATGTGAGAACCAATGTAAATAGTCTCATTTCTACTCTTTACGTAATCCTCTTTTTGAAATGTAAGAAAAGTTCACAGTTTTCAACAAATCCACCACACCACCTTGTTGGGTTGTACATTTGAAAATGTTGAGTTAAAGCACGGAATTCCGGTTTTATTTTATAGGGTGGAAGGGGTTAAAAGTGCACACCACTCATTCAGATGTAATTGTTTTTTACTTCTATATTTGGCCAGGTGAATTCTCTGTGTGTAAAGGGGTTTGAAGGAGCATCTGACTTTAGCCACTGTTATCCCTTTCCCTGTGAAATCATAAATAAGGCGTCCATTGTACTTTTGAAAGAGAATCTGTATATGTAACGCTAAATGTATCCCGACTATACAACAACATATCTGATTTGAGAAGGGGAGAAAAAAAAAACATTTTTGAAATTCACTTTTCCAGACAGGTTTAACATTTTGAACTGAATCCCTTGTCTTCAAGGTGGGTGTGAATGGACAGAAAATATGAATAATGATGATGATGATTAAAGATGAACGGCTGTAAACTACATGGGATATTTTAGACTTATGTGTATTATTGTCTTTGGGTTGGAGAAAATGATGATCAAGAGTATAAATAAAAAGTCAAACAAAATTGTTGACCGGACTCATTCATTCATCAACTCTTATACACTGAACAAAAATATAAACGCAACATGTAAAGTGTTGGTCCTATGTTTCATGAGATGAAATAAAAGATCCCAGAAATGTTCCATATGCACAAAAAGCGTATTTCTCTCTAATTTTGTGTACATGTGTTTACATCCCTGTTAGTGAGCATTTCTCCTTTGCCAAGATAATCTATCCACCTGAGGTGTGGCATATCAAGAAGCTGATTTAAACAGCATGATCATTACACAGGTGCACCTTGTGCTAGGGACAATAAAATAACACTTAATGTGCAGTTTTGTCACAACAGGATGCCACTGATGTCTCAAGTTGAGGGAGCGCAATTGGCATACTGACTGCAGGAATGCCCATCAGAGCTGTTGCCAGAGAATTTAATGTTCATTTCTCTACCATAAGCCGCCTCCAACGCCATTTTAGAGAATTTTGCAGTATGTCCAACCGGCCTCAACCGCAGACCACGTATGTGTGGGCGAGTGGTTTGCTGATCTCAACGTTGTGAATGGACTGCCCCATGGTGGGGTTGTGGTATGGGCAGGCATAAGCTACGCACAACGAACACAATTGCATTTTATCGATGACAATTTGAATGGACAGAGATACCGTGACAAGATCCTGAGGCCCATTGTCGTGCCATTTATCCGCCGCCATCACCTCATGTTTCAGCATAATGCACATCCCCATGTCACAAGGATCTGTACACAATTCCTGGAAGCTGAAAATGTCCCAGTTCTTCCTTGGCCTGCATACTCACCAGACATGTCACCCATTGAGCATGTTTGGGATGCTCTGGATCAACGTGTTCCAGTTCCCTTCAATATCCAGAAACTTCATACAGCCATTGAAGAGGAGTGGGACAACATTCCACAGGCCACAATCAACAGCCTGATCAACTCTATGCGAAGGAGA